CGCTATCCGTTGCGCCAACATAACTTTTTTTTTTTATTTCTTTATTGCAGCCAACATAACTTTTTTTTCTTTCTTTATTGCAAGTTGCGCCAACATAACTTTGCCAGTAATGCTCACGCATTCCCACATCATAGGCGAAAGCTTAGGTGCCTTCGCAGTTTTTCATGCATGTGTTATTTTTATTTATGGCAAGGGTTCACGTCCAGAATGCTTTTAGAGTTTTCGACCAAAACGAGTTTTCTTCATCCGAGTCGCCTTCTAGAAGCAGTAGACCGCACTGGGTCGTCCGGCTAATCAAGCAGCTATTTTCAAATTCTCTGGCGTGCCCGTCCTCGGATCCGAGGTCGCCGTTTGACAAGCTTGACTTTCTTCCACCTGGTAGCCGGAACCACCACGGCCAGCTTTGTTCCGTCCCCACTCCCTCTCGAGAGGATGGCCTCGCCCCGAGGCTAATCCCATTCTCTAAACCTCCTTCCATCCAACGCTTGACCTTTCCCTCCCCGTCCCCCAGCTTCGGGAGAGAAGGTTCTTCTCTGCAGAACGTCCCGTTTGTACAGCGGCTTTAAAGTTCAGAGATTGTCCTGTCTTTATCGTCCCTTTTGTGTCTCCACTTTTTAATGTTTAAAAAGTATCAACACGCTAAAATAGTACAATTTCCGGGATTTCATTTTCATCCCCCAAGTGTGATGCGGGAACCGCCCCATAGAGCCACGGTCGTTTCCGCACTTTGTTATCGCTAGGATTTGACAGTGCTCAATCACAATGCAAGACACGCACAGAGCCACGCTCGCTTTTGCAATGCGCCGCATAAAGGAATGTCCAAACAGGACACGACTCCGACAAATCGTGAAAATTGAAGCGGGCTTGAAGCGGGCGCGTCCGCTTCAATTTTCACGATTTGTAGGAGTCGTGCGTTTTGTAGTGTCCAGTTTGGACACCCCTTAATAATGATATATCTTGTTGAGACGTGCGCACATCCGTCTTGCGCAGTGTTAGCTCAATGGCAGCACTTTCTGTAAAGGCGGATTCACACCGGGGATAGCAGTCGCGCGATCCAGCTAAATCGCATCGCAAAAAAAAAAAGAAAAAAAAAAGTAATTAGTTGGTCAATTTAGCGTGCGCGATGAGCGAGTCCAATGCCTTCGTTGGCGAGTCGCGTCTCAAAAACTCTCGCTCCGAACGCCGTTGGTTGGCTCGGCCTCTCCGCGACTAGAGTGCATCGCAAAACGTCGGGTCAGCAAGCGACTGCTCAAAACCCGTCACTTTTTGCCCGCGATGGTCGCTTTTGCGATGAAAGTTATGGCGCGACTAGATCGCATCGCCGGTGTGAACGCGCCATAATGTCGAACCAGTCTCACGGCGCGTCCCGATATTGGCTTGTGTACCTACGCGCGAGTAAAACATCTGGCACAATTTGCGTTTGCAAAGCCTGCTCCAGCCGCGTCAAAACATTCAGCCAACCTTTGGACTGCAGAAATCAAGAGACAACCAAAATAAGATAAAGTTGCCAGCCGAATAAAACTTGATTTCTATTTAATTAAGATGAAGACCACCCGCGTACATCAAATACCTCATCAGCCGAACTCCAAGGCAGTAAGCCTAGTTCTGGCACTTGTTTGGCACCTTTGGCCCGTCGCTGCCAGATCACAGCCAAACTATCGGGAAGCGAAGCGTAACTTGGGCACTCGCTTGGCGACTTGGGCCCAAAGATGCCAGATCTCAACCGAACTACAAGGGAGTAAGCCTAACTCTGGCACATTTGTGGCGATTTTGGCCCGAATGTGCTAGGTGACAGCCGAACTGTCAAAAAGTGAAGCCTAACTTTGGCATTAGTTTGGCGATTTTGGCCCGAAAATGCCAAAGCTCTGCCGAACTACAAGGTAGTAAGCCTAACTCTGGCACATCTGTGGCGATTTTGGCCCGTATGTGCCTGGTGACAGCCGAACTGTCAAAAAGTGAAGCCTAACTTTGGCATTAGTTTGGCGATTTTGGCCCAAAAATGCCAAAGCTCTGCCGAACTACAAGGTAGTAAGCCTAACTCTGGCACATCTGTGGCGATTTTCGCCCGAATGTGCCAGGTGATAGCCGAACTATCAAAAAGTGAAGCCTAACTTTGGCATTAGTTTGGCGATTTTGGCCCAAAAATGCCAAAGATCTGCCGAACTAAGGGCAGTAACCCTAAATTTGGCATTTGTTAGGCGATTTAGGCCCGAAGATGCCAGATAATAACCGAACTACCCGGGAGCGAAGCCTAAGTTTGGCACTTGTTTGGCGAATTAGGGCCAAGATAACCAGACTGTTGCCAAGGGAGGTCAGGTTTGGCACTACTTTGGCTTCTTCGGGCTTCTTAATGCCCTAAAGTGCCAGACGCAAGCCAAGTTTTGGCCCAGAACTCGGTGCTGCCTGGGTATCAGCACAGACTCACTTCCCCCAATCCCCATACTTCCCCCTCCATTGAAAAGCGACAACCCAAATGTTACAGTGGAACCACAACCGAAAAACATGAATTCCGACAACAACCCCGAGAGACGAAAACTCCGCGCCAAAGCCCACGAAAAGCGAATACGCTACCTACATGAGACGGATCATGATACGTATTTTGCTAATGCCAGTCACCAAGTCACGCATGGCAAAATAGCTTTCGTCAACACACGCACTAAAACATATTACTTCGGCACCTTCACAGAACCCCCAACGATCTACGATTTGGAAGAAGACGCCATCGCCAAAGCCATGGAGCACGCAGCCCAACAACCTAACACTAATCCCACGCTAACCTTCACGGACTCACAGCGCGCCCTATGAAACTACACCGACAACACCTTACACTTTATGACGGATAACCTAGTCCGTGAAATACATGTCCGCTACCCGGACGAAAAATTCCGCCTCGTATGGACGCCTGGCCACCAAGGCGTGGAGGGAAATGAGACAGCCCATCGGTCTCACCCGCGAAAACTCCCCGGGTCCCGTCACGTCATGGCCGGCTATCTACTCGGTAGGCGCAGCAAGGAACGCTCACCGAGCCCTGCGGAAGTCAAGGTTAAAAGAACAACGTGAAGAGCGGACCATTTACCCTCACCCTCCAAAGGCCATGTCTAGGCAACGATCCTCCCTCGTCAGGCAAGCCCAGACCAACTCTCTTCCATCGCACCACATCTTCCACCACATCTACAAAAGACCCGACTCCCCCACCTGCCCAAAATGCGGAGAATACCCTTCCATCCCTCACACCTACTGGTCTTGTAACCCACCCACCCTTCCCCCAACCCTCTATCACATCAAATCTTGGGAGGAATGGCTAGCTCCACCCACGGGCACCGACATATCCGCCGCACTAGAAGCACTAATGCCCGCGTCCCACTAGAGCGACATACAGAAACAAAAGACAACGACAAGCCTCAAACCAGACTCTTTCGCGATTTGAGAGGCTTCGTAGAATAAAGGAGGCTATGCTCAAACACGAGCATCATGCACGCGAGGGTATCTTTGGCAGGCTTGTAATCGCTCGTGCTTACTTCACGAGCACCGAACGACTAAACGCCTGTCAAAGGTACCATCGCGAGCATGCTGCATGGGTTTGAGGCTTGTCGCTGTCTTTTTTCTCTGTCTGTCGCTCTAGTGGGACACGGGCATGACTAATCACTCCGGTCCCCTTGCGGAATCCTCCGCGAGACGTGGGTCGGACGGGCCGTCCGGACCAGGACGTAGGCCCTTACGCAAAATAAAGTTTTGCTTGCTTGTTCCCGCGCAAATCGGTGCCACATGAGCGCTGCTTCCAGCGCTCATAAGGCAAGCTGGGCGCCTCTCTGTATGTGTGAACCGGCCCTTAACCTTCATAGCTATATATATTCAAAAATTCGGCACACACAGGATGTAATAGTATTTAGGCAAACGCGAAAAACTTTGTTAACTTTTTATGACATTCCTGCGGATAAGCAAACACGTCCTTTGTACTCTTGTTGCTTTTGTTCTTAATGTGTGTAATACGTTGCATCAACCTGAAAAATCAGATTTCTCACCACTTCTTTTTTTTAATATTTCTTTGATTACTGACCTTTGAGTATACTTGGAAAGTCACAGGACCGCACAACACTGCATAACGAGGAAATTACCCGTGTCAAAAGGTAATGATTCGAATTGCACTGCTGTTAACGTTTTCTGGATGTACGGCTACTCGGCACATATTTTGTGGCGTCCGGCAGGAGGGACCGAGTCCACTATGCAGTGGTCGTTGAGTGGGCGCTGTAATCAAAATTCGCTGAGAAGACCAAACAAAACACGAATGTCGGAAAACTTGAAACGTGCCTCCTACCAAGGCGGTCTAGAATGAAAAATCGGGCTCTCTTACGGCCTTCAGATGAAGGGTAGTTTGTCCCGACCACCGCCGCTCGGTGACGTCGCTGCGACCTCACCCCTCCTACTGTGGTTCAAATCCTTAGGAGGCACTCCTATCGAGCCTTGTTGGCCTCTTTGCTCCGGGGTAGAATTGTAGGAATTTCTAGACTAGTCGGTGACAGTGTTGAGAGTCCAGGGAAGCTCCTTCCACATTTTTTTCACTTTAACAGAGCGGACGTCGGAGAAAAGGTCGTCTCCTCTCCAGCGTTCACTCTGGTGAAGTAGAAAGAGGTGGGAGAGTTTCCCCTCAACTTTTATCCTGTCACTGACTTACCTCTACAGGCCTCGAGGTCGCCTGCCTGCAGAGACCTAAGCAGAATATTCCTTCCTCTTTCTCTCTCGAATAACTACCAAAAAAGAAAAGAAAAATAACTTTGCGTAGATTCAATTCGTGTGCGCTCTAGGAAGGCTGAGGCAAAGAAAAAACAGAACAAAGCAAAAGCGCGCCAACGGCTATTGGTTGACGTGACTATGACATAATTAGCTGTTCCGTATAGCGGCTGCAACCTTTTTATTTTTTATTTTGTTTTAATTATTTATGGACAGTGTATAGGAAAAATTCAATGACATTAATTACATTTTCTCCCTCCTTCGGCGCGCAGAGCTGGAAGCCAAGATGATCGTGGATCCGGCGCAAACTCTGCGCCTCATGCACACGGTGCCGTTCCCGGTGTTCGTGCAGCCGCCGGGGCACTGCGTGCCCGAGCGCGTGGCACCCGTGGCCCTGGAGCCGAACCAGATCTACCACATCGCCGTCAAACAGGCAAACCTCGCTCACGGAGTGTCTCTGGCGTAGGGCCGGCCCTATAGGAATGGGCGCCATCGAAAGGGGAGCGGCGCCGCTTCGCCCTTTTTGAATTTTTAATGCAAAAGCATTAACTGTTCTATGGAGCAAACCGGCGTTATCAGCTTCTGAAGCCGCGTTAAACGGCACCTAAATTCCTCTGTCTGACGGTCCGAAGCTGTTAGTCTGTATTTTCTGCTCCGATTTATTTGAACACGGCGCCCGACATGGTGGTGTGCGGAGTCTGAAGTACGTCTGCTTCTTGCACGGGAGTCGCGATGATGTCAGAATGCCCAGCTCTTATTGGCTGATTGAAACAACAACAACAAAAAAAGAAATAGTGGGTAGACGTCAATCAAAGCCAATCAGAGCTCGGTGCCATTCTGACGTCACCGCAACTCCTGCGCAAGAAGCAGCCGACTTGCTCTCCGCATATGCTGGGTCGCCGTTCGTTTTTGTAGTCCGGTTCTCGTCTGACAAAACGCTAGTGTTGGGCCACTACTCACACGTTTACTGGCAACGTGCTGTCGTACCTAGACTATAAGGGCGCATAACAAAAAAAGAAAAGGGGGGGGGGGGAGGGGGGAAGGAGGGTCTGCACGGCCGGAGGGCGCCTGAGGGTGGAAATCCGGCCCTGCAACTCCGGAGTATTTACGTACCTGCGTGTAACTCGCCGTAGCAATGTGGGGACTGGGAGATTAAATTGAAAACAAGCTCGTGTAGTTTGCATTTGCAATGTATGCCCGCGAAATATGATAAGCGAAATTCTCCTGCACTCTGTGAAATATATTTTTGTCCTTAACATCTTTTCTTAGTTCAGTACTCGTCACTTTTTTTGTCTGTTTTATATATTTACGAGTGAAAGGAATACGACGGACGTTATTGCCGCGGTATTTCCGGCGCTTTCTGAAGGAAACATACTTTTGAGTTAATGATAAGTAGAAGCCAGAGACTTTAGAGCAGGGCCGTACCCAGAAAAAAATTTCGGGGGGGGGGGGGGGGGGGGTTCGGGGACAACGGCGGTCATTTTGAAAGCGTCTATTGTCTTATTTTCGCCTATGAATCATGTGCATCGGTAGCATATAATGGTGAGTTACAGCAAACCGGAGAACCGGTCCCGGTTTGGTACCCGGTAGCCGACGGGCGCCACTGCGCATGCGCAGAGGTGGAGATTAAAATCGGCTGGCTGCCAGTGCACCGACCAGGGCCGTACCCAGAAAAAAATTTCGGGGGGGGGGGGGGGGGGGGTCAAAACCCCCTAACCCCCCCCCCCCCCCCCCCCCTGGTTACGGCCCTGCTTTACAGCACTGCAGAAACTGAACGTTCTTCGTGAAATAGGATGCAGTACGCGGGCGTGAAAATTCCACAATGCAGACAGTAAAGAATGCGTACATGGCGGGGCTTTTGAGTGTCAATTGTTCAGTTGATTTCTTATTTCTCGTTCCTAGCAAGTCAAATACCGACTGCCCGCTCCTTACCCGTCTGACTGCAAGGACTATCTCTACGAGGGACCTCGAGATGAATTTTATGGTTTTCCATCAAAAGAGGTAAGTCGTGCCGGGCGCTCCAGCTGGTGACCTTTAGTGATTAAATGCAAGCGTCAAAGGTACAGACAGAGCGCGACCGCGAATAAACAATCGCCGGTTTTCTTTTTACGGCTACAAGTCTACCGACAAAATTACTAGTGCACTGGAATGCACATACGTGTGGGAGATTTTAGTTGAAAAAAGGTGGAGTTTTACGCTACCGATTTATGAGAAAAATAAGGGAAAGCGTCACGCATTTGCGGGGCGGCCATGGTGTGGTTTCGACTGAAGCATGACTGATTCAGATTGCTCTAGCGGGAAGCAGGTGAATCGTACTCAACGTCGCAATTGCGAAATCGCACCATGTGAATCGGGCATAACCGTGCCGCGCGGAGTACCCATCGTCCTGAATCCCAAACACAAATAATCAGCCTGTGAACGGTCTTCACGTTGAGTACCTATATCAGGTTAAAGTTTCATAATAATTGGGTTCCGGGTATCTGTGGACAGCTGAATGGCTAGCCTTCCCCAATAGGCGTTTTTATGTCTCCGCAAGATAGACTAACAATCTCGCCTGTGCAGTGTACGACAGCTATGCTTGGTGTGCATGACGCAATAGTGAATTTACCAACCCACGCGCGTATGACGTTAATCCAGCTCAAACCGGGAGGGGTGGGGATTGAGCCCAGGAGGGTTCCATCTGCTGCACGAGCTTTCGCTCCACGGGCTTCGAGCTTTGGTGCTTTAATACAATCCGCCACCGATCCCCCAGTTTTACTATCCATTTTTAAAGCGCAGCTCTTAGGCGCCCGTTTCCGGCTTGAGCGGCGTCGCCGTCGCCGTCGGCGTAACCAAGGTCGCCCCAAGGTCACGTGACCCTTCTCCCCAAGGTCACGTGACCCCCGAAGTAACGTCACTCCCCTGAGATCACATGACCCCCCCCACCGATGTCATCGTCACTGATGACGTCACCGGCATCCGCATCGTCATCATCACTGATGACGTCTTCGTCACTGATGACGTCACCGGCATCCGCATTGTCATCGTCATCATCATTGATGACATCATCAGTGACGTCATTGATGACGTCACCGGCATCCGCATCGTCATCGTCATCATCACTGATGACGTCACCAACATCCGCATCGTCATCGTCATCATTACTGATGATGTCATCAGTGACGTCACTAATGTCGTCACCGGCATCCGCATCGTCATCGTCATCATCACTGGTGACATCACTGATGACGGCACCGACATCCGCATCGTCATCGTCATCATCACTAGTGACGTCACCAGTGATGTTACCAATGACGTCATCGGTATCCGCATCGTCATCGTCGCTGATGACGTCATCAGTCACGTCACTGATGACATCATCGGCATAGTCATCGTCACGTGACCCCCCAAGGTCACGTGACCCCCCCCCCCTCCGGTCAGTTGACCCCCCCCAGTACCCTTCCCTCCTCCTCCTCAAGAGCTGCGCTCTAATTCGGCGTTACAGGGAGTTGTAAACGGCTTTCACTTTTTCCTTCTTTGTTTCATGAAAGGAAGTAACATTCAAGTCGTTTTATAATAGCTGTACAAATCTCTGGTAGAAGACGAGGTTAATAAAAAACAGAACTGGTTCACATTACACACCTTTGATCCGGAGACGACGGGCGACAAAGGAGACAAGGGACAAACACGCACGTCTCAAGAGACGCGTGTGTCGTCCGTCGTCCCCGATTACAATTATTTGTAACAAAACTATGCACGGTTTTGCTGTCCTTGACAAAGTGCGGTTAGCCTCGCTCAGTTCGAGGGCCCGAGTGACGGACTGAAGGTGAACCTCTTATCGCGTATATCGTCGCGTATTTCGGACGTTAATTGCATCGTCGTATCTCTATAGTTGATCCCTATATAGACAAAACTAACGGTTTCCGTGTTTTGTTCTATCCAGTCTTGTACCCAAGAGTGCATCATGCAAGAAGAAATGAACCACTGTGCGTGCGTTCTTACGGATCACGAGTATTCAGTGACCTTTGCGGGACCTCTGTGTTCTATTATTGAAGGCGGTATGTTTGTCCCGCGAACTTTTCGAAACTTCCTCACTTATTTTGATCAATAAAATATGCTACCTCAAAGTACTTGTAGATATCATATTAGCCTAAAATCCTTTCTTTATGATGTTAACTTACCGTGTTACGTAAAACACCGACAGCAGAGGTTGTATAAGAAAGTTGATAACATTATGTCACAAATATTGAAAATGAGTCAAGCAGCTGGGTTCGGATATTTCGATGTAAATTCTGCTTGTGAAACCAATAACCCAACTGCCCGATCATACGCCATTACCCGGCACACATTATTATTATTATTATTATGAGTGTCAGGGAGAAACATGTCTAGATCGCATAATGCAAAGCACAACTTCAAGCTTTGCACTTCAAAAAAATGTAGACCTGCTTTTTGGATGAAATTAACATACTTCAAGACAAATTCAATGTACTGCCGCACTAAAAAGGTATTTGTAGTAGCATTATGACTGTAGAACATATACTATAGTAAAAACGAACTAGCTGCAAGAAAGTGATTTCAGCTGAGTTTTGAATTTAGACCTATGCATTTAGCAAACCGTTCTGAGCGTTTACAAAAGCGGTTAGCGAAGGCTGAAGGTTTGGAATTGTTCTGTGATAGCCGAATGGGGAATTATCGCGGGAGGAAATCACCAGAAAAGGAAAGTTGTATTTAGATTACGAGCTATAGTTTACGGAATATTGTACAGTGGCCCAATTTTTTAAGATAATGTCAAGCGAACGTCGACCGCCGGGACGGTCAGCGCTGTGCAGCGGAAAAATGCGGCGTCACGGGATGCGCACAGTGGCAAAGCCCTTTCTGGTGCGAGCGTCGTCTACTAGGCTATTCCGTTGACCGCACACAGCCCCAGCTCCGTAACAAAGGAGGGCAGGGAGCTTGCAATGTCGAACTGCATCGCCCATACGGCCCTCCTCTTGTAATGCGTTAAAAATCTTATTGACGTTAGCCTGTGTAACCCCGACTGTTGTTTCTATATCCCTTTGCGTCATGCTGCAAATTGACATTCTCACAACACGTTCCCGCGTTTTTATGGGCCGTCAAGGAGGCATAAAAATGTGCGCGCGCCCGCTGGTCAAAGAAAACTTTGGCTACCCGCGCTACATAGGCTAGATGACGACAACAACAGCGCAGTTGATAGTACAAAACACCAAGCCCAAGCGGAAACCCTGACTATACTCCGTTTCAATTTGCGTTGTACCGCAGCAGACGAGTTATCTTGGCCAGTCGCTCGCTAAACGTGTGTCACGTGGCTTTCCCGTTTGGTACGACTGCACAGGGAAGCACGATGTCACGTGTCAGGGTCAAAGCTCTGGATTGGTTTTGATGCCTCGTAGCATTGTCTGCGGTATATAGTTTAATGCATCGTTGCATTCAGTTTGTCGCGTCACCGTATTTTTCATTTTTGTTGGTGTTCACAAAAGTAAACGCAAACATGAAATGAACAAAAAAAAGTAAATTAAACTCGAGATGACACGCGGTTTATGCATGCCACGCCTGAGCAGGGGTGCTATGTTGCGCTTTTTGCACTCCCAGGAGACTTGGAAGAGGGAAGTGACGTCAACGACTAGAGCAAATGCAGATTGGATGTTGACAGAAGAAAACAAAATCAACATCCAATCTGCATTTGCTGCGTTGTTGACGTCACTTCCCTCTCCCTAGTCTCCTGGGAGTGCAAAAAGCGCTACATAGCCCCCCAGTATCACGCAAGCAAGCGCTGTTCAGATTTTTGCTTAAAGGCTATGCGAGCAGATAATGAACAGGGGCTGTGTGCGGTCCACGGAATAGCATAGCAGACGACGCGCGCAACAGGAAGAGCTTTGTGCGCACGCGCTTAATTTCTCCAGTGACGCCGCATTTTTCCGCGGCACAGCGCTGGCCGTCCCGGCGGTCGACGCTCGGATATTATAAAAAAATTGGGCCACTGTACATCTAACTTCAATTAATAAAACGTGATTCATGTGTTTGGAACTGTTATTATTTAGCTTCATATTCTAACAATGACTCTCTTATATCGTGCATTTATTTCTGTTCTATATTAATATTTACATTTTTTGTAATCGATCTTTTATGTTCATAGATCACCTATCAGTTGAGAATGACATTAACGAACATTTCTTTCCAGCCAAATGTTGGGATACAGTATTTGAGAACAAGATACTCCAAAAATGTATGGATCGATGTAAAGCAGCCTGCAAGTAAGAATCGCACCGTAGATACATTTGACAACAAACGAATGCACAGCATGAATGTGCATGAAGGGGTTAAAGGGGAAAAAAGCGAGAAAAAGAAATTGGGTGTCTCTCTGGCACTTTCGAAAGGCGTTAATAGTGCACCGCATTCATAGGGGCTCACCGCGCTTCTCCTTTCCCGGGCAGAGTAAGGAGGCCATTGAAGGGCACACTGCGAAGGTTTCGTGGATATATGAAGCTGCCACAGTGTCACGTAGTGACATTACGTGACGTAGCGTCACGATGTTGCGTCATGGTGTAACCTGACGTCACGGATATCACGACGTTATGTCAGGTGGCGTCACTGCTTTGCGTAACCTCATGGTGCCAGACGACGTCATGGTAGCACGTGACTCGAGGCGACAATGTGACGTGACATCAGGTCACGTGACGTGCACCATGACGTCACAGTGCAACGTGACAACACGGTTCCACGTGACGCCATGATGTCGCTTGACGTCACGTGACCACATGACGTCACTTCGGGTCGCGTCACGTAGCAGCATAACATCACGCGACGTCACGTGCGTGACAAGGGGACGTAATTGAGACTACATCTACGGACACGAGATCGCCAAGAGCTAGCTCTAGAAATGATACGTGTCGCGGCTGGAAGCACGGGGTTCGAACCCGGACAGCCCAACCTTCGCTGCTCTTCTGGAACCTTCCAGTAGAATCTCGGAGCATCGCGTGATGTATTGTCCAGAAAGTTAC